ACTAGAAAGGAAATCAACTTTAGGTTTCTGAAGTCTTGAGTCTATTGAGCAATAGAAAATGACTAAGATATGTAAATGAAAGAGTATCATCAGAAATACTTTTCCCAATGCAATGTCAATCAGCGTTTCCACCAGGGGGGCGTCTTGCCGTCATTTGACGCTCTTATTCAGGTCGGAGCGCCCTGAACTCGAGCCGAGGGCGTCCAAAAAAATAAATAATTTGAGAGAAGATCGAGAGTTTTTATCGCTTGAAATGACGAAAAGGAAAAAGGACACGGACATCCCTCTGTTGGAGGGGCAAAGGAGTCTGGTGGGATTCTTTTAGCCACCAACAAAGCACGTTCCTGTGACGAAAAAAAACAAAACACCGCTGCATCTTCCAAGGACCATGCCAGGAGGGATGTCCCTGTCGGCAGGGAGACGTTAAGAGATAGGATAAGGGACGGCGCAATTCAAAATTGTGTGTCTGCATACGTTAAGAGATAGTATCTATAAGGGACGGCTTAATTCAAAATTCAAGTCACGTGACACGACGTGACGTGGACGCCCTCTCAGCCCTGGTCTGGCGGAAACACTGATCTCAATACGAAAGAATGTAACCAGGGCTCGACATTATAAAATGGCCCGCTGGCCCGGAAGCACTATTTAGACACCCCGGGCCAGCATAACGTACTTTCCACTTGCCCGCTCGGGCCACTAAAAATATTGCTTTAAAAAAGGAAAAATGGTCCTGTGGTATTTTGACTAGCAATTTCGTTAAATTGTTTTGTTTATTAACGCTACAACATAGCGTTTCGTGAGTCGGTTGTCGTTGTTGGGTGAAAAGCAAACAGCTGTTTCCTGCGGAGCGCAGCGGCACCTATCGCGCCACCTAACCATTCGCCAAAATGTTTTTAAACCACCGGTAACCGGCCAAGCAAAAAACTATCTTCAATAAAAGAAAGTCACCGGAGGAGTTAAAGGAGAGTGACAGGGAGCATGAGAAGAAGAGGGAGAGAACGTTTCAGCTTGATCGATGGAGTTGGCTTCTAGTGGTGCAGTGACGCATCCTAAAACCCTTTTATAATCTATCGATTAGATTTATGATTCGAAAAGTATAAAAGTAGGGTAGACATGCGGAGATTATCCGGCTGAACAAAACGTGCATTTATCAAACAGGTTTGTTTTCCACAGACCTTATTTCCAGCTATTTTCCAAAACCCTGTGGAGAAATCCCATTGCTTTCTGTGGAGGGAACCAGCAGCTTACTTCCTGGTCTTAGGACGCGTCACTGCACCTCTCAATATGATGCCAATATAAACAAGGTCTTCTGTTGGCTCTGTACATCAATGCCGACCTATGCTGACAAGTAAGTGAAGAGTAGACAATATAAAGGTATTGGCGAAATGTCCCAGCAGTTTAGGATAATGAAGGTTCTGATCTATAGCCATTACATTTCTAACTCCTAATGACAGGAAGGCAGAAAGCGCATTATACAAATAATAATACTCATAATAATAGCAGACATTTTTTAACAATGACCACAATATCATTATTTTAATAAACCAAATATGAACAATTGAGGAAAATGAGGAAGAACTGATGATTCAAATGTTGTAGTACAAGTAGTAATGTAGTTAGTGCATAAATTACTATTGCAACAAATGTGTTCCTTTTCTTCATTATTAGTAGATTTGTTTTGGCCGAATGCTCCGGGCCGGTGATAATACCCTTAACGTCTACCCCTGATACAACCCATGTGGTCATCATCACAGTAGCCTCAATATAAAGATTGCTAAAACATTGGCATCAAAAAAATATGTCCAAAAATAGATGCGTCAACTGAGAAAAGTTCACCGAAGAGATGCTGTGAATTTACCTGATTTACCTTCATTAAATCTGGATATGAACCAGGGCTGCAGGATATATCATTTCAGCATCACATCACAGGACATGAAATGCCAAGTGACATTTCCTATAACTAATCTATGAGAGAAGTCTGATAGAACATCTACTGCATCTTAAAGCTTCTTAGATACATGGGGTTTGAAGATAGTGAGCCACATGAAGCGATCCAACAACCACAATTACTTCTTTTGATAAATGTATCAAACAACCTTCTCATTGGTTGTTTGATACATTTATCAAAAGAGGTAATTGCGATTGACCACATCCTGAAAACGAGTGGTGTAAAAGGTATAAATAAACAGCTTAAAGAAAGATTTGACCGCTCAATGAAACACAACTTCTGTAACGTGGAAATTAGCTACATCAAGATAACCATGATGTTCACCAGCAACAGTTAAACTCCTGTATCTTGAGCAGCGTTGTTTGGACACTTCTTCGCACAGGAAGTGACTAATTGAAACGGAAATCCAACTTTATTCAATCAGCAGCGCTACTGAATCAAAAGGACTCATCAGCACTTCTTATTCCTTATGTTCTGAAGATTCCCAGTTGACCATGCTGCCTAAATATCTCGACATATAGATTTAAATAATTGGAACCAAACCTTTTTGTTGACATTTAAAAGTGGAAATCAACATAAAGACCAGCGAATAGCACCTTAAAGTTTAAACGGCAACATGTGTGGCATCACTGCTAGATTAACTGAAATGATGCACTGAAATAAGTCTATCTACACTGAAAGTATTATTTAGGAGTCAAATCATTAACGGTTATGAACAGGACCTGTAAAATCCCATGTGTTGTTATTTCTTGTAATTGTAAAAGTAATTTATTTCTGATTGTTTTGTAAAACGAAAAAGCAAACAAATGAACAAGACAAACATGTCGCTGATGACGATGACCTAATGTTTTATTATATGCTAGAGGGGGAGGACCAGGGGTAAGCTTCTTCTTGCCCCTGGTGAACATGACAGAGACTATCTGAGAATTATTGTTGGTTGTTTTTTTTGGACTTTGTTATAATTATTAATTTGAGTGAGAAAAAAAAATTTTAAAAAAATATATATTTTTTATTGTATGTTTTTGTTTCTGACATAAACTGACTAAAAAAATAAATAAATAAAAACTGTGTGTCTGTTTGAAAGAAATAATGCAGCACAAATAAGAATAAAGCAACACACATAGTACCTTAGTAGTATATGCCTAAAGCAGCAAAAGTTAACCAACACGAAAAAATATGGGATGATGCAACGACAGAATTAATTGAATCGCAAACAAAATATTGTCTTTAAAAGAAGTGAATACAATTTCCTCTTTGAGTGAAAAACAAACGAATGTATTTCCTAAAAGGAATCACATGCCTTATTCGTAACGAAAGCAACAGACTGGCGCCAACCTTCACGTGTTTATCTAGATGACAGAAAGAGTCCTTCATAGTACTGTACACACTCCACTGATGCTGCCTTTGACAAATAATTGCAGAGTGAAAACAGTGCACATGTGGCTGTTATCACTGAAGAGAGAGGAGGGAGGGAGGGAGACTGTTGATACTCTCGCTCTCCCTCTCTCTCTCTCTCTGCATGTGGAGGCGAATTAAGCTATTGTATCCTGCTGGAAGAAGCACAGGAAGAAAAGGCTGTGACACTCTGATGACACCTTGGCTGCTTGTAAACAAAACTACAGCCAGTCCAACCCTCTCACATGGCCCGGGAGATAAAGTGACTTCAAACTGATCTGGAAACAGTGGGAAACAGTGCTTCATGACCACACCTACTCTATGTGCTGATCCAGAGTCAGCCAAATAAAAAAGGATACCAAACTGCAAAAATGTAAAGATAAAACACTTCAGGTGCGAGGTCAACTAAAAATGATAAGTGACCTGTGCATGAGGTGCAGTCACTCAGTGGATCTCTGGAGTACAGTCATCATGCAAATGACTGCAGTGGGAGGAACCGTGTTCTTAAGAAATGCTTTAAATAGATGCAACCAATGAGTAAATAATATTCTGGTATAATAGTGCTGTTTCTGTTGCAATGGGAGAATTAAGGTGCATTTTGATGTACATACAAATACATATTTTTATGCAAATGCATGCATTAATGTTTTTAAATGAATACAGAAAAGAAATAAGGATGCCTTGCCACGGTGCAGGAATATATCCGTGCAAAGGGGGGCTGTTTTTCTGCAGCCTTTTCCATTAGATGCAATTATAAATGGCCGAGAGCCGAGGGAAAGGGGGAGCCAATCAGATCTCTGCTCGCATGTCAACCTAAGACCAACTGTCTCCTGGCTCTGACAGCAGGATTTTACCTCCATAATTCAAATCCCAGAGCAAAGGCAATCTGCACTTTGCCAACTTTTAAAGCTCCGTGTTTACAAGGCGGCACATGGAGCACAGAGGCAAAGGAGAGGAGGGGGGAAAGGCGAAAACCGAGCCACAAATGAATGAAAACCCCTCCGTTTCTGTCAGGATGAATCAATCGTGGCCACAATCACACTTTGATCCGAGTAAACACTCCGCAGCATGCATTTTTTGCCATGCACAAGACTGAGACACAAACCCCACCTTGCCTTTTTAAAACCGACAGTGTTCTTTTTTCACCTTAATGATTATGCAAATGTTACTTAACTGTCATTTGCATCTTGTTTATTACCCCTGACAGCCATTGACACACTTTTAATAGCACTGTTTAGGAGCACAACATGCGAAACTAGGTTAGATTCTTACAGAAATAACTTAAAACCCTACAATGAAGCGAGGAGAAGAAGCACTGCGCCTTATCTCCCTCTCTGCACACACACACATGCACACACACTTTCTCCTGACAAACTCTGGCTCTACTTAGTCAAACTCTTTGCCCTGTACCCAGCAGGGACACACTACTAATCCCCCTACAACTCTGGAAGTTGTTTCCAACACACTATGTGGCTTCTTTCTCGGTGTAAAACACAGTTACAAGGGGCTGGTGTTGTGGAGAAAAGAGAGAGGCAGCCATTTTAAGAGCTCTTGCTACATAGACAATGGCTGAGTCCAATGCAATATGCAACTCTTAACAGTGCTTTTTGTGCGGGTTAACTCAGTGAAAGTGTGCCTGTGCAGTGAGTGAGTTTACCTGGTTTCTGCTGGGAGGTTGTCCAGTGTTTCCCGGGCTCATGGGAGCTTGATGGTGGCTCCTTTGTTGCCAACCCGGATGGACCCCACCACCACCACTACCACCTCCTCCTCCTCCTCCACCACCACCACCACCTCCATACTGACTGCCCATATCTGCTGGTCCCTTGCTGGCCCCTTCCTGATTGTTATAGTCTCCTTGGGGGTAATTCGGGTAGCTCCTTGCTGAACTGGGGGATGTCAAAAGCTGATTTAAAGTTGGCGTGGATGTAGGTTGTTGGGTTCCCATGTTATACCTCTGATTATTGTACGAAGCAGCAGTGGTTCCTCCTGCTGGCTGCTGCTTGCCTGGCTGCCCCCCGGCCGTTGGAGCCTGGCTGTTATTTCGCGGGGAAGTCATGGCTCCGTAGCCCTGGTAGGAAGAAGAAGAGGACGAAGAAGTCCTGTTCTGGAAAGGGCTATAGTTGTTGTAATGGTTGGGGTTGGGGTATTCGTGTGAGTTAGCCGGGTAAGGGTCCATCATGCCCGGCCCCGATGCAGCTGCCATGCCAGGGCTTTGTTGTCCGCCATGTTGATGAAAAGGGGCCCGGCTGTAGTGCTGGTTGTAACCGTAAGGAGGTGGAGGAAAGGGGCCCGGATGGTGGTGTCCCATTCCGGGATGGTTGTTCCCCTCGCTTGAATCATTATTATTATTATTTACCCTGGGAACATTCCCGTTCTTCATATCGGGATCCCCTCCTCCTCCTCCATCGCTCCCGTCCTCCTTCTGACCCGGAGATCCGCCGTCGGTTCCCGGTTCCTTATTTTCCTGCAGTTTCTCCCCCGGTACCACCACCGAGTCCTCCTGCGAGTCCCGATCCGGCTTCTTGAGTTCGGATGGCGGGCTTGTGTTGAGAGAGGCGACGCTGGCGACCTGAGCGGCCATTATGTCTCTCCCTCTCTCCTCTCGTTCACTGCCTCTCTCTCAGCACCGAGACTCACTCACAGTCAAACTCCCTAAAAACACCATTGAATATAAATACGGTTATATTTATACCAACGTACCCGACGTCCCGGTTCATTCCCCCCCCCCCCCCCCCGAGATTTAGCCCCTCCGCCCCGGTATCCGGTTAATCCACCGCGACTCCGTTTCAAGCAAAAACGGAGAGGGGAAAAAGTTTTTTAAAAATATAATAAATACAGAGGAGCCAGGCACAAAATGTATTTCACCGACACTAGTGAGTGTGTGTGTGTGTACGAGTGTGTGTGTGGGGGGGGCTTCTGTTACAGAACGAGAGCGCGAGCTAGAAATCAACCAAACCAGCACGAGGCTCCGCGAGACACACAGCCATCTTACCAAGAGGGCGCGAGGGAACGAAAACCCGGAGTGGAGTACTGAGAGGAAACTGGATCCGGAGCCAACAACAACACTGTTTACACCATAAGAGAGCATGATGATGATTACAACATTAAACAATCAAATAATAATAATAATAATACATGTAATGTATACAGCATAATTATTGTAATAATACATTTAATTGAAATAATAATAGTAGAAAAAATGCAGAAAAACATATATATAATAATAATAATAATAAGATATTAATTAATTGACATCACATAATAATGACTAAGAAAAGGTATATTTTATATAGCATAGTATTAATAATAATAATAATACTTAACATTTGTTAATGTATATATTACATGTGTATGTAATAATATTTATAATACTAATAATAAAACATTGAATGTAGCATGGATATAAAAAATATTTATAATATATCTAGTGTATATGGCGATTTTTCTAAGTACTTTAAGACACATAACAAAACATTTTATGCAAGCATACAACAAACATTTATTTGTCATATGCACAATAGCTACAGTGTAGTTTCGGAAATGCAACCAACAATATGACGTATAGACATAAAAACAGTGCACGACGAATTCCAAATAAAGTACTGCACGTCTCAAAATGTGCAAGGAAATGCAGAAAGACTACATACATGTACAAATAGAATAATGAGTGCATGGGACATTAACGTACGTTTATTGAGCTTATAACTGAGCTTGTGCACTAAAATGTTGACGTATCAAAAGCCCTAAGAAGGAAATATTAACTATTATAGCATCCAAAATGTGCACAATGAACATGAATGTACAAAACATCCTTACTAAACTGAATTAAGTGCAGCAATGTGTAAAGGACAGTGTTCCTATGCTTTAATTTATAGATGCAATCTGCTAATATATCAGCTTATCATGTTCCATAATAAACATATTTTCAGTGACACATTGAACTTTATTTTAAATATCTTTTAACAGCCACATGCATGCTACAGACATTGTGTCTACAGTTGAATGGCATTAAACTAAAAATGTTCCCTTGTATTCCTTTACCATACTCTGCCTTGAAGTCAGCCATAACTACTCAACCGTCCTGATTACTACAATTACTTCATGCATGAGCTGTGTGTTACATTTCATTTGTGCACTTTTAGCTTATTAGCTCGTTAAAGGAGTGGAGGAAAAATAAAATAGGCTGAAATGTCATCTTCTGTTGGAGTGGGGCTAATGGGTGACTGCTTCCATGTGTCCACCACATATGGAAGAAAGAGGAGGAAAGCATGAAATCACAACCTGTCTGTGCAGAAAGAGAGGGGAGAATAGGGGGGAGAAAAAAGGAAGAAGGATGGGGGATGGACTGAGCCAGAGCAGGAAGTGAAAAAGAGAAACAGTGGTGCCAAAAAGTGACAGTGAAAAGACCTCTTGAATTCAACATATCGTTCTGTAAAATCTTTCATCAAATCTCACGTCAAAACACGAGAAGTGATTTGGAGCAAAAGCATAATCTTCAATTAATAGGAAAAGACACCCCCCCCCCCCCCCCCCCCCCCAACACACACTATCTGTCTCCCTCTCCCCACCCCCTTTCTTCGTGTTCTCTGCCTCGCGCTCTCCTAGCAGCAGCAGCCTTCATGTTGCCTTAATTGTCTGTCGGATTTTTCACCATCACGCCCTGAGTCAGCCACGAATGACTCATGCAATGTAAAAGTAAAGAACTAAATGTGAAATAAAAGTCGGAAATTAACTCCCAAATTGTGCATTAGTTGCTGATTTAATGTTTTAGAGATGTTGCAATGTGTAAAAGCTGTTTAATATAAGCAATAAATCATATATACATGAGACATAGTGGCTTAAAGTGTATAAATAAGACAATAAAGAATGCATATTACATTAGAACGGATTATCATAATTCAGTAAAACAGTGACGTGGCCTCACACCAAATATAAAACATTAGACAAAGTGAAAAAAAATGCTTCCACTAGATACTCACTTTTTACTCAATATCAAACATCTATGGGTTAAATGACATTATAAATTGTAGGTCACAATAAAAACATGTGGATTATTGTGGAAATTGGCACAAAAAAGTCCCATATTATACAATATATACAAGACATCAGATATAGTGATGTATAATAACCTTGTTACCACAAAAATACAGATTTAGTACCTAAAAAGTGAACAAAACAAAAATAAATACGATTTTAAAGAATGTGGATTACATCTTTGAGTTTAGGAAAACAATGCCATGACCACAGCTGACTTTATTACTTGAATATGTTCAACTCAAGATCAAGTGAAAATGTAGATTAATGAAGATAAACATACGTATTTCTGTGTTTATAAGCTTCCTAAACAGGATATGCAGGATATCTTGATAAATAGGAGGATGTGTGTGTGTATGTATTATGTATACTTGATGAAAAGATAGTGTGCACTCTTGTATCATGTCTTTATTTTGTTGGAAAACACATATTATTCTTTAAGCAACATAAAGTAAATCTGAGATACACAAAGCATGAAGCTGAGAAAACAAATCCTTAACTAGAGTGCATTTCTGAGCAGAAGAAAACATGAGAATGCTGCGACACTGTGCATTCACGAGTTTCTGTCGGAGCACTTGAACGCACCACCCCCGCTTGCAAAAGCAGCAGAACTTTGCTATGTGAATGTGGGGGATGGGAAGCTCTCTCTGCTCAGCCCTTTCTCTCTACAATGCGGGGCTTTCTGCACACATAGCTAAAAAAAGAGAGATCCTTCTTTCACACTGAGTTTTTAGCACCAAAAATATCCACATATATTTTAAAACTGCAAAGACAGTGTGTGTGTTTGTGTGTGTGTGTTTAATAAAGGAGAGTGTGCAGGGTGGAGGGGGTCAACTCAGAGCTGATGTCTGCTTATATAGGCTAAGGGAAGTGTGTGTGTGTGTGTGTGTGTGTGTGTGTGTGTGTGTGTGTGTGTGTGTGTGTGTGTGTGTGTGTGTGTGTGTGTGTGTGTGTGTGTGTGTGTGTGTGTGTGTGTGTGTGTGTGTGAGAGAGAGAGAGCAGAGGCAGTAAGGGAGGAGGGGGTAGGGAGCTTCTTTTTCTTTTTAGCATAAACTTGCTGTTTGTTATCAAGGGGTGCAGCCTCTCTTCTTCTCTGTTTCTTATTTCTCTCTTTTTAAAATAAGCACCACCATCTTTTTTGTTTTTCCCTGTTCTTATTTTAGACACGGCTGCAAATATGTTTTTTCTAAGCACTCACCTTGAAAAATATGTATCTGTTGTTCTTGTTCCCCCACCTCTTCTCCTTAGCGTTCGTCACTTTGAAGATTGTTGCTTTTATTGCTCGTAAATGATCCACTTTTTTACCTTTTTATTAGTTTTTTTACATATGTACTGGTTTGTGAGCTGTGTGAATTTTGTATTGTATTAATTAATGTATTGCTCTGTACAGCACTTTGGTCTGGAGGTTTTAAAGTGCTTTACAAACCAAGCTGTATTGTATTTTCTGTTGTTGTGCCTGTGCAGCTGCAAAGTGACTTTAAAGCACACAGAGATCATGTGCTATGTTCATTCTCTGTGGGAAAGCAACAACATGCTGCTAAGGACCTCCTGTGCAGCTAAAGGGTGTCATGCATTTATTTATGTGATTCTTGTTTTACAGGGATATGGTGTTGCTGCACGTCCAGACAAGCTCAACAAGCAAGCATGAGGACGTCCTTAACACAGAATAAAAAATGAGACTGTGATTCGTGTAATTGATACGACTTGGAAAGCAGAGGCTTTTACTTTGAAATACTGAAGCAGAAAACAGGCAACCGCAAGAATGGTGTCGACAAATACTATATGAATAACACGCCAATTTCTAAACTCATTTCATGAACTCAAACCTTTACAATACCAATATTTTAGTTTGAACATATGACGTAAAAAGTGTTTAAAACTGCGTAGGTATGTGACGGTTTACAAGAGGCGCTTTCACACCCGAGTACTTTTCCCAGTATAGTTCCGATATAGTTCCGAAATGTTGCGTTCACAGTCACACCAAAAAAACTGGAACTAAAATGAATTCATGAGAACCTTTTCACCCCCTTTTCCGTCCCCGCTAGAGAGCAGGTACTTTCATGGGAGAAAAAGATTCCCATTTCTGATTGGCTTAGCGGATTGCAAACCACGCCCCGTAAAACCCCCAAAAAGTGTTGTGAAGCCACCATTTTATTTGCTTGCATTAGCATTATTAGCATTAGCATTAGCCCAGCGCACCAACGGAGAGAGAATAACTTATGGCAACACAAAAGAAAACATGGGAGCAGTGGAGATGAGGAGGTGTCGGTGTTCTGGCGATTTACTCGGAAGGCTTCAGTAGAAGCTGCTGGGAGTCCCAGCAGCTTCTACTGAAGCCAGTCCCTAACTCCGGGGACTTCCGGCCAGGGACTTCGGGTGGCAGTATACGCCGTGAAGTGGTTTGCGGCCTGCCAGTAAACCCAAAGCAGAAGAAGAAGAAGTGACGTCAGCGGCTTAATTTGCCTAATCCACCCCCAGGTACTTATTCCGGTGTGAACGCGATCTATACTTAGTTCATGAGAACTACAGACTTCTGATTAACTAAGTTCTCATGAACTAAGTACGGCAAAGTACTTGGTGTGAAAGCGCCTATTGACTCCCTAACTTTAGTCTGATATTAAATGTACTTCACAAACGTTCATTATTTATAACTCAAACCATGATTTTTTCCTCATTATGCCAAGTAATTAAGTTTGAATTCACAATGTTAACACCAAGTTTAAAACTGCAATTGTGCGATTGTATGTGACTGTTTACGTTGACTACTTAACTAACGACAAGTGTACGTTTTTTAACCCCAAACCATTATCTTTTCCTGAACAAACCAATCACTTTTGCTTGAATTCAAGACATCGTGTGTAACACTTACGTACATAGCTTACGCAACCAAGGTACCAACATTTTTAACCCAAGTCATGATCTTTTTTCAAACAAACGTACATTATTTTAACCCAAA